TCTTCAGGGCCTCGATGCAGGAAACCATGAAGGGCCCCCCTGACCCCTGGCTGAAGCTCTTCCCTTCAGACTTGGGGCCCTTCCCACTTATCCCGGGCCATTTACTTCCATCGTGGAACACTTTATTATGGTCCCACAGGGGGACCTTTTTAACTTGTTCTGCAGCTGGCCCACTTCCTGCCATCTTGGGTCCTCCCCTCAGTGGTAAAACGATAGGGACTTGTCGCAAGTGCAACCTTTGCAACCCTGGTAGTTCTACCACTGGCGTTGGTGGCTTTAGTGAGATATTAGCAGTCCAAACAGACCTCTGACATTCCACCTCTGAGACAGAGAAAGGAGAGTTAGGATGCAGCCCTCAATCTCCTTCTCTGCAGCCTTAGTAGCACAGAATTAATGGATAGGAATAGCTCTGTACAGAGTTTCCCGTTAATTCACAAACAGAAGCACAGTAAACACAGTTTACTATGCCTCAGTTATGAATGGGCACAGGAGCGATTACTGACTGTGTCCATTCAGAAAAGGAAGGGACCAGTAAATTACATATTTATCAGCCCCTTTCCAGCTCTCCATCCTGAAAGCGTCCCCTGCAGCAGCCGGCGGGGAGAGGGGAGGAGAGAAGCTGGCAGAGCAGAGGAAACAAGGGGAAACCAGTGGAGCACACAGGGTCCCAGGGGCAGCAGGACCTGGATAAGAGGGGCGGCATATAGAGGAACCAATCCCCTCCATTTTCCACCTGTAGTTGCTGAATATTTGCGGGAGGAAGAGGAGGAGAAGCAGGCTTTCAGCATCTTCAGGAGCAAAATAGAGTGCATTGGTTACTCTATATGCTACCCCCGCCGTCCCTACTATCCAGGTTTACAGGGGAGCTGAAAGGGCCCCCTGGAGCATGGGGCCAGGTCGCAACTGCAACCCCTGTGTCTCCTGTAGTTACACCCCTGATGCACTGTCTCCAGTATCACTGCTCTGGATCAGTCAAGTGGACCATGACTATACAATGAATGACGGACACCCATTTGTAGTCCCTGACTGGGAAGCATGTAACATGTTAACTAAAGAGGCGCACAATTACCAAACAGCTGTCCCCCTATAATAGCAAATACCTCAACAAGGCCAGGATTACTAGGTATTTTACACAAGCTGCGGATGTAAGAAATACTATAAGATTTTTGTGATTGGGTTAACATCCATTTAAGCCTGAACTCAGACAAGTGTATATTTTCAACCTCATTATGTAACGGCAACTTGCTGATTAAGTGTGTCTGTATGTTTACATATACAGATCAGGAATGTCATGATGTCGAGGAAAACAACAGATAAAAGTGCAGATTTTTTCTGAAAACTGTGGTTACCAGCGGCCCATCTTGGCACTGCCCTTTTGCGGAGGGTGAAAGAAACAGGTGGGCATGGGTTCTCACTGTTATCCTGCCAAGTAAGACCATCTTGCATCCAAATGTGATTATCGGTATTCATTTACAAGCAAATCATAACAGCCTGTGCAGTACGTCCAGGCATTTCTATACAGCAATGCTCGGCACCCTTGACTGGACTACACAGAGATACGCTTGTGCTGTGAAAGCATGGCACAGTAGACATCATGAATTGGACTTCATTGACAAGCTAGTAATAAGCATAAGAATATCCTGAGCAGAAGAAAATATCTCAAGTTGTGTTTTGTTCTATCAGACTTCATGCATGTATTTCAATGGGAGCCTTGTAGTCATTTCCCTGACTGCAGAAGACCCCAGAGATAGAGCAGTGGAACAACTCTCAACTATCGACCTTTTGTTTCCAAAGCGGGTGTTCCACAAAACCTGAACAATGCATTTGAGATCATCCAAAACAATTTATATCAAGCGTAAACCCTACAAATGATAGTAGTACTTATTTTACAGTAAACCCATGAAATGGGTAAAAAACAGCCGCCAAGAGATGCGGGCTTGTACCTTCATTTATCTTCATGAGTGCCCCAGGGTGTTCCAATATGCTAATGCTCCAGCTCCAAATTCGGATCTCTGCCAAACGTCAAATGCCTCAGTGCAATGCTCCGAGCCTCGCTACGTAATTTTAAAAAACAAAGCTTGGATTGGGGGAGGGGTGTGGCCGACTTAAGCTTAGAGTTAACTATGGCATACTACACATCTCAGGCTCACTTCAATGTATAATAAAAAGTCGTCAGCAATTGCTCAAAGGATTGACATATCTCATAACTACTGATGACTTACACCTGTGGGCGACAAACTTGGCTGACTGCTCTTGGGGACACAGATTACTGCTTGGAATGTCCATTTTCATCCAATCAATGTTCCCCAATGACACAAGGCTTTTGCTGATGTTGTTGAAACAGGTATACTTGGGTAATAAACATTTACAAAGTGAATGTGTGTATATATATAAATATATATATATATATATATATATATATATATATAATTTTAGTCCTCATTTATATGGGTACACCTATGCATACACCCATGCAAAGGGTTGTCTTTGCCCGCATTGGATGCACAGGTGTTCCATTCATCTGTGTGTCGGCAGTCCCATTCATTCATGTCTATTGGCACCCAGCAGCTGTATGGACACAGCTGCTGGTCCCACTTTCACAGCTGTATGGGTGCGTGCCTCTGATTGCGGACAGTGTGCTTTTGGGGACAAGTATCCGCACGGCTGTCAAAGTGGGACCAGAGGATGTGTCCATACAGCCGCCATGTCCCAATAGACGTAAATGGGACACCTGTGCATCTCATGTGGGCAAAGACGTCCCACGGATATATACATAGGTAAGCCAGTGTGAACGAGGCCTTACTTAACCCCTTGGAGCCGGTGCTTCCCGGCCCTTTAAGGCTTTCAGAAGCCGAGAGGCGGGGCGAATTTTAGGGTCATGTGACCGCCGTGACACGCCGTCACATAATCGGGAAAGGTCCCGATTGAAAGAGGAGATCGGGACCTTTCCGTGAGTACCGGACGTGTGCTGGGAGCGTGCAGGGTGTGCGCTCTCAGCACATATTTTTTCAATAAAAAGCAAATGTGCGGCCGCTCAGCGTCTAGGCCCAGAAGCCGGGAGGCCGCACATTTGCGTTTGCAGGCGCTAAGTATTTATACATAGTTGACAATTTATGCAGCACTTTACAAATTATATATTTACATCAGTCCCTGCCCTCAAGGAGTCTAGAATCTCTGGCCCCTACCTCACATGCATACATGCACAAACTAAGGACGATTTAGGTTCACATTATGAATCACATATGAATTGCATAAGTATGCGCACCACATTCCTGTGCAATTCACATGCGATTCAGTGTGGTGTGATTTAAGCCCATTCATTTTTAATGGGCTCAAATCAAACTGCATCGCACCAGAGTAATGCATGCACCAGTTTTAGAAAGGCAGCACAACTGAATCACAGTGCCATTTTTTACCATGTGATCCAGTGCAGGCAAATGCACTGCATTTGCGACCTGCATTTGGGGTGTCGGTAACATTGCACTGGCATCCGCTGCAGACTGCAAGGGCAGTGCAATTTGAATTTTGTGCTGGAAACATGCAGAGATGGCAAGTTTCCTGCACCCGTTCGAGTGTGAACTGGGCTAAGACATGAGCCAATTAACCTAACGGCATGTATTTGAAGTGTGGGAGGATAGCGGACAATCTGGAGGAAACCTATGTAAGCACAAGGAGAACATCTACAGTCCATGAAGGTAATGTCCTGGTTGGGATGCAAACTGAGGACCCCAGTACTATAAGGCAGGCACTTACTTGACTTAAAAGGAAAATACATTAAAAAATACGGGTTCTGTAGTAATCCAATATTTCAGGAAACAGGTGGACCTTGCCCCATGGAAACTTTGGATCACCATTAAACCTACACATTTGCACCTATACTCCATGAATGGAGCTGTTCATTGTTCTAGATAATGGTTACTTTTCTGAGAGCACTTAAGCATTTACCCTTTTTTTTGTTAAAATACATCTGTAAGAAGCAAGTGCAACTTTATACACAGCAGATCGGCTCTTAGCCACAAACACAGGGATAACAGCCCTTTGTCAACCCACGGCTAAGCATCCTGGGAAATGTAGTTCAGCTAAACCCCACTGACCCCCATATGGTGGGTCCAGATTAACAGCACTTCATTCTCTGCTGCTGGTGAATACATGGATCTGTAAATTGCACAATGCTATGGCTGATCCCCAGGCACCCGTACATTCTCTTTTCCCGCTGAGTACCAGTAATGAGATAAAGCTATCTGGGCACCCCCTGCGGCACCTTGTTTTGTAAGCAAACTAGGACCTATCCCCGTCTGGCAACAATGCAGCATTAACCTTATTAACATTGTGTCCTCTTTCTAGAATGTAAACAATTAGTGGTTTATTTTTCATTCTTTGGCGCCCGCTCTTGCTGCTAACACCACACTGAAGGGTAGGGTAAAAAGCTATCACAAACAATCCTCCTCTCCTCACTCTGCGAACAATTAACTCCATAGATTTAGCACTGCGGTGGGAAATTAGATTTCAAGAGATTGTAAATGCTAAAGGAAATCTATTATGGGAGAACTATGCAGCCTGCCAAATGCTGTCTGTCATGTTGATCCTCTAGTATCAATGCTTTTAGAGTAGCTGATGAGGTAACTAACTTTACTTGCCACATACTTTTTCCATATCAGGACCTCAAAGCACTGAATCCAGTGGGATCAGCATGGTAGCTAGAATTTCCAAAAGGATGATAGCAATGGTACCCTCAAATTACTCTTAATGACATGTTTTCTTTATTTCCAAGAAAACAAGAGTAAATTCAACTTCAAAAGAAATCAGATTGATTTTTGCTAGATACCTGGTTTTCTGTTGGTTAGAACATCACTAGTATTAGCTGTCTACAATGAACACTACAAACCAGATTGCATAGTTCTCTAACTAGGGTTCTATAAAACTCTAGGGTTCCTCTGGAGGTTGCTAAGGTTTCCTTGAGCAATCAGCGACCTCATATAAATGGACACTAGTAATCTTTTAACCTAAGGGGGAATTCTTCCCACTGACCACCATTGTAAGGAGCATTCTTCAAAACTGACCACCAATGTAAGGGGCATTCTTCCAACTGGCCACCAATGTAAGGGGCATTCTTCCAACTGGCCACCAATGTAAGAGGCATTCTTCCGACTGACTACCAATGTAAGGGGCATTCTTCCCACTAATAACTAATGTAAGGGGGCATTCTTTCCACGGACCACCAATGTAAGGAGCATTCTTCCCACTGACCACCAATGTAAGGAGCATTCTTCCCACTGATCACCAATGTAAGGAGTATTCTCCCCACTGATCACCAATGTAAGGAGCATTCTTCCCACTGACCACCAATGTAAGAAGCATTCTTCCCACTGATCACCTAATGTAAGGAGTATTCTTCTCACTGATCACCAATGTAAGGAGCATTCTTCCCACCGACCTCCAATGTAAGGAGTATTCTTCTCACTGATCACCAATGTAAGGAGCATTCTTCCCACTGACCACCAATGTAAGAAGCATTCTTCCCACTGATCACCTAATGTAAGGAGTATTCTTCTCACTGATCACCAATGTAAGGAGCATTCTTCCCACCGACCTCCAATGTAAGGAGTATTCTTCTCACTGATCACCAATGTAAGGAGCATTCTTCCCACTGATCAGCAATGTAAGGAGCATTCTTCCCACTGATCACCAATGTAAGGAGCATTCTTCCAACTGACCACCAATGTAAGGAGCATTCTTCCAACTGATCACCAAATGTAAGGAGCATTCTTCCCACTGACCACCAATGTAAGGAGCGCTCTTCCCACTGACCACCAATGCAAGGAGCACTCTTCCCAATGATTACTTAATGTAAGGAGCATTCTTCCGAATGGCCACCGATGTAAGGAGCATTTTTTCTACTGACTACCAATGTAAGGAGCATTCTTCCAACTGACCACCAATGTAAGGAGCATTCTTACCACTCACCACCAATGTATGGAGCATTTTTCCCACTGACCATCAACATAAGGAGCATTCTTCCCACTGGTCCCCAATCAAGGGAGCACTCTTCCCACTGTCCACCAATGTAAGGAGCATTCTTCTCATTGACCACCAAAGTAAAGAGAATTATTGTGGTTCTAATCTTTTATTTATTCTATTTAAATAACAAACATGTTATACTGACCTGCTTTGTGCATGGTTTTGCACAGAGCAGCCCTGATCCTCCTTTTCTGGGGTCCCCTGCCAGTGCTCCTAGCTCCTCATGCCTGCTGAGTCCCCCCCCCCCCCTTCCCCAGCAAGCTGCTTGCTACTCGGGCTCGCTCCTGAGCCCAGCTGCCTTTGTCAATAGACACAGACAGCAAGGCTTTGCCCCACCCCCAGCTCCCTTGTCATATGATATGATTGACTTCCACTGCTATCACTGGGCACCAGTGAGGAGGAAGAGAGCAAAGAGAGCCACTGCTTTCATGCACAGTGCAGGATTGAGGTCAAGCTCAGGCAAATATAGGAGAGATCCTGGACACAGAAGGTTTTCTTTTTTCCCTTAATGCAGAGAATGCAGTAAGGTAAAAAAAAAACCTTAAGGCTTTAGAACCACTTTAACTCACTAACCACCAATCTAAGAGGACTTTTCTCCACCGACTACAAATGTAAAGGAACATTGCACTGACAACCAATGTATTGGCCATTTCTCCACTGACTATTAATCTGAGGGAACACTACAATTTTAACTGTGAAGTTTTCTTTTCTGCCTATTATTATTATTAGTTTAATTTACCTATTATTATTAAAACTACTTGTGTTGTATAGAGCAGAACCGGTGTCAAGGATGCTAAGTACACCACAGTCCTAATGCTTTTATTTATTCCCAGGTCTCAGCTTACTTTGAGCTATAGATATTATTAGCAGAGGATCCCTGAGACCTGAAAAAGATTTCAAGGATTCCTCCATTATAAAAAGTTTGAGAAAAACTGCTTTAATACTGTATATTACAATAAAGTACTATAAAGTAAGAAGATTGTGATTTAAAAAGCAAATTAATTCTGTTTGTCTCAAACTCCTGGGGCGTATATGATCCTATAGAAAACCTCAGCTTTACAGTTATATTTAAAGTTTAGATTGGTGCATAACCGAGCTGTTCCCAACTTATCTGCAGGACAATCTGTCCAGGTATTAAGAAAAAAAGATATATATAAAGATCAGAGCAAGTGTAAGGCTGGCCATACACTATACAATTTTCTGTCCAATTTCTGCCCGATTTCCTTTAGATTTACCTTCACCTGTGTAGTGGAAGGGCCTGCCTAATTGGATACAACTGAAAGTGTTGTTCAGGTTTGACCTCATATTATATGGTTTTTGGTAAATCTAAAGCAAAAATCTCAAGAAAATTGTATAATGTATGGCCAGCCTTAGTTGCCTCAGTCAGACTGGTTGGAAAACTTAGAGGAGGATTTCTCTTCAACCACACCATTGCTAAGGTCACATGGTCTCACTTAGGCATGGTCACTAACTGGCCCTAGGTCCATTAGGCAGAGATTTTAAGGGGCAACACTTGACACTGGTCACCTGACTGGCCACTGGAGGCAGCCCAAATTCCAGGAGAACCAACTCCGATTTCCTCCAGGAAAGGGAACACTGATGTGTCCAGTACTGCATTATAGACTTACTTCTTTTCTATTGACCTATTTAATAGCAAATCTTATACTCCATCAAACTGATAGAAACACCCTTACAAATAAGGACTAACAGACACTGTCAGATGCTTATTGGTACCCATTAAAAGACCAGACAACTGCAACATGCAACTTCCAGGATTTAAAATATTGGTGCTGTCACAGCCTATAAAAAAATTCCCTGCCTTGTACTGTGGATTGATGATGGACTGTGATGCTTGGCACTAAAGCATACTAACGATCAACCTTTCTCAACCTTATCGCTCCTAAGGAACCCTTGCAATAATTTTCTCCCAGGGAACCCCTGCTAAAAAGGATGATATCTACAGCTCATAGTAAATTAACATGGCCAATATATTGATAGAAAGTTTTAAATAAAAGGATAATTAATGTGATGTACCTAGCAGACTTGACACGTGAGACGTGAGGGCTGATCACTTTGTTACCAACCCCTACAAAATTATTTTCAGTAGTAGAATTGAAATAAATAACTGCAAAACAGAAATTCAGACAGTAAAAATTGTGGTGTCTTCTAACATTACTGCTCATAGTAGAAGTGAGCCCTTACATTGGTGGTTAGTGGAAAATTGCCAGTCTATGACCTCTATGTCTAAGCTCTGTGGGCAGGGCAATAAGTGTCAGAGGGTGTGGCCTGGATGGAGCCAGGTTGAAGTTGCTTCTACCTTCCTTACACCTGGGTTGTTTTCTCAGAGTGCTGCGTTCTATCCAGGGGCGGACTGACCATTTGGAAACTCGGGCACTGCCTGAGGGCCCGGGGTCAGTACGGGGCCCCATGAGATGCCCCTGGTACCTTTTTCATAGGCTTTTTTGAGTTTGGGCAAGGACACAGGGCCCCCCATGATCCCCTATTGCCCGGGGGCCCCATGAGTTGTCAGTCCGCCCCTGGTTCTATCTCTCCCTCTTCTATGTGTGTGCATTGAGCTAGGATGTGGTCTTCTTAAGCCAGCACCTGAATCGGTGTGAGTCACCGAAGCAATACAAAATGGTGGCTTGGAATGGCACTCCAAGTTTTCCTGGTTTATGGAAAATTGCCCTCTTGCACTAGTGATCAGTGTAGGTAGAAGATCAACCCACCATTGTTCAAAGAACCCCCTAGCAACCTCAGGAGGAACCCTGGTTGAAAAATACTGCTATTGATTCAGGTTTCATGATCCCCTGGGACACCATGCAGAGACTTCAAGCACTCCCAAAAGAGACCTAGCCTAGTCTTCACATGCAGAACTACGTCTAGCATTCAAATGAAAAGAAAGGCCTTTTAGTGGACTTTATAGGCACTACAACAGTGGTAAATAAAAGTATTGCTTTATTGAACATACATAGACGTACAACAATACATATGATTAATAAAATCCATTGCAGAGGATATGCTCCTGCAGCATATGGAAATGTATATTCAGTACAGATACATGTAGTATAAGCAGGGGCGGACTGACAACTCATGGGGCCCCCGGGCAATAGGGGATCATGGGGCCCCTGTGTCCTTGCCCAAACTCAAAAAAGCCTATGAAAAAGGTACCAGGGGCATCTCATGGGGCCCCCTACTGACCCCGGGCCCTCGAGCAGTGCCCTAGTTTCAAAATGGTCAGTCCGCCCAAGTATTAGTATATTCCACAATGAAAATGTACCGTATCCCACTAAGAGTTTGAAAACTGATAATCCGGTACTAATAGTTGTAGTAACATGACATGTTTCGCGATAATATGGCTTCTTCAGGAGTGGGGAGGAAACATTGGGGAGTGTGCCGTTTGTCCCCTTGGTTTGTTGGGATCCCCTCGCTGACTGGCCCCGCATGGGAAGGCTGGAGGCCCTCCTTCACAGCCCTCGCACAGATGCTCGTAGATTAAGAAATCTGTTCACAACTCCTGAAGAAGCAATATCATCGCGAAACACGTCGAGTTATTATTATTATTATTATTATTATACAGGATTTATATAGCGCCAACAGTTTGCTCAGCACTTTACAATATAACGGGAGACAATACAGCAACAATACAGTTCAATACAAGAGGGTTAGGAGGACCCTGCTCCTCGGAGCTTACAATCTAATGGTTACTACAACTAATAGTACTGGAGTATCTGTTTTCAAACTCTTACCTGGATACGGTACATTTTCATTGTGGAATATACTAATACTACATGTATCTGTACTGAATATACATTTCCATATGCTGCAGGAGCATATCCTCTGCAGTGAATTTTATCAATTATACGTATTGTTGTACGTCTATGTATGATCAATAAAGCAATACTTTTATTTACCACTGTTGTAGTGCCTATAAAGTCCACTAAAAGGCCTTTCTTTTCTCTACAGTTTGAATAGGACATGGCATTTGGGAGTGCTGCATATATCCCCACAGCAATCACCCTGTGTTGAGCATTCTATATCTATAATCTAGCATTCAAATGAACTAACTGGTATACTTCAAGACTATAAAGCTACAGAGATGATCTCATGAGCATCATTCTTGGTCTCTGAGCAGACCCTATAGCCTTGACAATGGAGCTTAATAGTATTAAATTTATAGATGAAATCTTTACAATTTAAAGATACTTTTTTGTAGCAACTTTTATTTATGGGTATTCCTGGGAGCCGTCCCCCTCCTGGGCACTTAATTCTGATTCTTGATCCTCAGCCTAACCCTTCTGTTTGTTTTACGATCCTTCCTCTTCCCCATCCCCCCTACGTTCTTCCTCTTTCCCCATTCTTTTTTTGCCTATCTTTTTATTTCCATATCTATAATTTTATTTTTTTTCTTTGCTGAGACAAACGGTGCATGTAGCATCTCACTGCCAAGGAAGCATCTCAACCATACTGCTCTCTCACTTAGACAGCCGAGAAGGGAGACAGCATGGGAAATTTGACAAGTCTGGTCTCTATGCTCTTTGCACCTGGTGCTCTTGTAAGTAAGCGC